GGGGCGGCGCGGCCCGGCCCGCGCGGCGCCCTGGGACTTGTAGTTTCCGCTCACCGCGCCGTCCCACCGCCTTGCCACAGCCCGGACCACAACTCCCAGCAGGCCCCGCTTTGTTTGCGGAGCGCTCGGCGCGCGTTGAGTGACGCGCGGGGCCGGCCAACCGCCGCCCGCGGCTTGGTAGTACCTGACCGTATATGGTCAACAACGGCGCGGCGCCCAATGGGAGGGCGGCGGGGGCGGGCCGCGGGCGGGGCGGGGCCGGGGCGGGCCCGCGCGGTCACGTGGGCGCGGGCGGTGTTTACGGCCGGCCGCGTGCGGTTTCCTGTTGACGTGAGGGAGCGGCGGGGCCGCGCTGGGCCCGGGGCAGCGGCGCCGCTGCCCTTCGGCACCGAGACCCCCTGCAGGCCCCGCCGCCCCCCTCCTGCAGCATGCGGAGCTCTGGCGGAGACCCCTTGGCTTGTAGCTGCCGTGCGGCTCCGCGGCCCGAGAGGCGGGGGAGCAGCAGCAGCCCCTTGGCCCCCGCGCCCTCCAGCCGCGCTTATAAACTATGGGCGGGTCGCCCACCCCCTCCTGGTCCCGGATTTCCCTCAGGCTCAGCGTGTCCGTGCATCGCTGAGGCGGCTGGCGGGAGCTGAAGGGAGAGGTGGCGGCGAGGGAAGGTTCTGGAAGGTGCCGGGGGCTCCTTTGAGAGCGCGGCCTTGCCACGGCAGATGAAGCAAACATTGTCACAGCAGGTAAAGCTCGCAGCCAGGCGGGCGCTGCAGGGCCCGGCAGAGCGGACAGTGCTGTAGCTAAGGGTAAGCAGACACACACACACCTTCAGTGCCAGGGTAATAACACCAGGGAAAAGATGAAGGGAACTGCCGGCTCCAGCCGCCTCCACCTTTCCTGAGAGGAGGTTCTGGGCTGTTTCCTGCAGTTTGGAGAGGCTGAGCCTGGCTGCGAGTGGATTGTTCAGTAACACCTCTGACCCTGGCTGGCATTTTGCTGGTGTTTCTGAGCCTTGAGGAGTAAATGCCTGAAGCTCAGGCAGGTGATGCACTTGATGAGTGGGGTTTGCAACCTCAGCTGCCTGGACAGGAATTGCTCCGGTAGTGTCCAAAGCTACTCAGGATTTTCCACGTGTTCTTTAGTAACCATTATAGAGTTGCACAACCATTCAGCCTGTCCAAGCCTTGGAGGATTTCAGGGCCAAGGGGATTTCCTTCTTGTTCTGTGTGTCTCACTGCCTAAATCCAAGTGAGAGCACAGCTGTACATGGCGGTGGGACCTATCAAGAGGTGACTGCTCATTTCTTACAAGGTCAAGACAACCCCCAGGGAGAGGTGGCACAGGCAGGTTTGTAGCCATCATGGGGTAAATACACCAGGAAAAACAAATCTGCTGAATGATTATTTTAATCAGAAGGAGTCAGGCATGTTTAGAAACCTTGGAGTTTGGTGTTTGGAGGGAGAAGGGTTGGGCCTGGCCCGGCAGGGCTTTAGGGAAGGGTCATAAGCCCTGTATAGCAGGGCAGTGTTTAGGGAGGCAAAGTTCATGGGCACAGCACTCCTTCTGGTGAGCTGTAATTCCATGTGGTGTCTCCAGGGTTCCTGGACCTTGTTGTTCTACACGTACCTGACAAACACAGCGAGTGGCAGTGGGAACAACAGAGACAAAGCACTGGGTAATAAACCCCAAGCAGCTGGACTTTGGATGGGCTGCTCTGGTGACCGGGAGCTTTGCAGGGAAACATATTTCCTTGTTTACATAGGTGTGCTCATAGCTGCCTCCCCAGCAGACACATCCAAGGAGACTCCTGAAGGGCAGCTAGGGAAATGTGGCAATGGGAGGGTGGGTGTCCCTCTGGCCCATCTGACTCTTCCAGGCTGCAGCTTTGTGGATTCTTCTTCCTGGGGTTCAAAGGATCCCTCATCTTTTCCTGGATGGGATTTGCTGAGCTGGAAGGCAGTGCAGGAGCTGAGGTCTCCTCACCACCCCTGGGGCTCTGCAGGCTCCTGGTGGCAGGAACCATGGCCCAATTTCACCCTGGTCCTTCCCAGTGTGACCACCCTCACCCCACACCATGATGGCACTCAGGGTCTCAGGTCCCTTGAACCTTGTGAAAGTGTTTTCATCCTTTCTCACAGAGGACTTCCCATCCTCGTGGCTTTCTTCCCTCATGCTGCAAGCAGCCACTGGGGCTGGCAGCACCAAAATGGGGGCAAACACATCTCAGGGAACCCAGAGGTGAAGGCGCAAAACCCACTCGGGTGGCACCACCAGGGTGTGTGGGGCTATTGCTGCTCCTCCAGCCCACGGGACCCACCTGAGGAGCTGTGGGACCCCGGCGTGGGCTGGCAGGGCAGCCCTGCTCCCTGCCCCAAGCCAGCCACTCTCCTCGCCCATGCTGCTGGCAGTGGTCCGTGATGGGCTGGAGGAGGCCGTGGTGCAATGTCCTGCCTTTGTGTGTGCCAGCGCCTTCGTCCCACAGGCTGGGCGGGGGCAGAGGAGCTGCTGCCCTTCAGCTCCGCTCACTCGGGCCCTGGGATTTGGGGCGGAAGGGCTGAGCCCGGCCCTGGCACGCCGCTGCTGTTGTCGCTGTGTCGCGGAGCAGGGCCTGGGAGGGACGGATTCTCCAGAAAAAGCCCATGCCCTCCCACATGGCAGCAACCCCCACGGGGCCCGATGGCTTCCTCTGAGCGCTCCGGAGAGCGGGGCGGCCGGGAGGGACCTTCCCGCTGGTGGAGGTTTTGCACAAACAAAAGATCTCCTGCTGCAGCTTCCCGGGCAGAGCCAACACCCTGCGGCTGTGGGACCTGGCTCTCCCCTGCTTAACCCACGTGGCACCGAGCTCCTGGTGAGCAGCGGGGGCAGCTGCTCAGGGAATGTGGCTTTGCAGCGAGATCATCTTTAAGGTCCCTTCCAACCCAAGCCATTCTAGAATCCCATGATTCTGTCCCAAAAAAAGCTCAGGGAACAGCTCTGGGGCAGCTGCCTCTGGATGCTTCTTTGAGCTGGAGAAGAGCAGGATGCTTTCGGTGCTCAGGCTGTGGGAGGAAAGGAAGAGGGACTCTCATCTTCTGTCCATATGCAAATTCCCCTCCTTGCTTGCTTCATGGTGCAAACACTACTCTCCTTTGGCCCCCAGGCCGTGGCCAGCTGGCCACCAGTTCTCAGGATAGAAGAGGGAGATGGACCCAGTGATCCTTGCAGTGCCCAGTCTGCTCCAGGACTGAGCCCCAAACTGGCTGGTGGGCTGCAGAGTGAGGCCTTGGGGGTTGTGGATTCACCCTGCTCAGTTTGGGGCTACTGGTGGCACATGAGCTGTTCACATCACCCCGCTGCTGCCAGGGCACTGCCCAGAGCTTGTTCCTATGGCTGTACAGGCAGGGAGCCCTGGACACGCTCTGGGCCAGCACACGTGTCCCTGTGATGGTCAGCAGACTCCATCCCTGTCCCTGTGATAGTCAACAGACTCCATCTCTCCCTGGTCTTGCTGTGAGAAACCCTTGCACGGAGAGGCTGCTTGGCACTGGCACTGGCACTCCAGGTGCCAGGAGGATCCTGGGGGACACAGCAGAAAGTTCCCAGGCACAGTTACTGCCAGGGCACAGCCAGAGCCTGGGGCTCCCTCGTGCCAGGCGCAGGGTACCCAACTCTCGTGGTTGGCCAGCAAGACTTGTTGCTCATTCCATATTTTTTCCCTGTCCTCCTTCCCAGCCCTGCTGCACAATGAGATGCAGAAGAGCAAGGTCTGCTCCTGCTCTGTCCTCACCCCCAGCATGTGTTCCCCTGCATCCCATGCCTCTTGCAGCCTCTCTGGCTGTGTTCATGTGGCCACAACAGCTGCAAGGATAATAACTGTCCGGAAGCACGTTTCACCTCGGGATTGTTTGCTCATTCCTGCTGGGCGTGTTTTAGTTTGTGTTTACAGCCAGCAAATTCCACCCACTGCCTGCTCACTTGCTATCACAAAATCCTTCCGTGCTGTCAGGCTCTGCTCACTGCTCCATCCCATTTCCCTAAATCCCAGCCCTCTTCCTTGCTCCCAAGGCTAATTTAAGGGGTTTCACATGTGCCACATCAGCTCCTTTATGTCTCCCAGTGATTCCCAGCTCCACTGCTGGGAATTTGGGTCCCCAGTTCCTTTGTGGCATTATGGGCAGGGAGGTACTTCCCATCACAGGGAGCGATTTTTCTCTGTTCCTTGGTGCAGAGGGGACAGGGCTCAGTCCTGGGACATTGATGGCTTTTTCATGCCTCTTGCTCCATGCCATGTTCCTCCCTACTCTTTTGTCCCACATGCAAGGCAGCCCACAGCCATTCCCTCTCCTCGCATTCAAACCTCAGGCATCTCTATTTCCTTTCATTTCCATGTCCTTCTCCCTGGGAGGTTGATCACCTCCTTTCCTGCTGGCTTTGAGCCTCAGCCAGTAGCAGATCCCACATCTGGGAAGTACCCTCGATAATTCTCCCTGGGCATCCTTGTGTGTGGTGTGTCCCTGGACAGCCCTGGGTATCCCTGTGCAGGCTCTGTCTCTCTGGGCATCTTCCCTGTGCTTCCCTGCGCCAGATGTGTCCCTGGGAATCCCCCCTGCACATCCCTGTGCAGAGCATGACCTTGGGCTTTGTCCCTCTGCATCCCTGTGCAAGGTGTGACCATCCTCCCTGTGCTTCCCGGTACAGGATGTGTCCTCGGCCATCCTCCCTGTGCATCCCTGCCTGAGCTCCCAAGGGCTTCTCCATCTGAGGTGCCCCTGGTGATCTCCATGCCCGGGTCCCTCCTATGCAGAGTGCCCCATGCCCATCCTTGTTCCTGTCCCTGTCCCCATTCCCATTCCATCCCCGTTCCCGCCGCAGCGCCTTCTGCCGGCGGAGCTCACGGCCCCCCCCCCACCGCCATTGGTAAATGCCGCTGCCTCCCCGCCCCGCCGGTGGTAGGCGCCGCCGCGGTGTCTGCCGGGAGCTGTAGTCCCGGGGCGGGAGGACTCGCTGTCCCGGCGTGCCCCGCGCCGCCGCCGTGGGTGCGGGTCCCGGTGCCGGTGCCGCCGCCGCCGCTCTGCGCCCCCGGGCCGCCCGCCCTGTCCGCGGCCGCCATGGGCTCCCTGCTCAGCCGGCGCATCGCGGGAGTGGAGGACATCGACATCCAGGCCAACTCGGCCTACCGCTACCCGCCCAAGTCCGGTGAGGGCCGCGGGGACCGGGGAGAGGGACGGGCCGTGCCGTGCCGGGCCCGGTGTCCCCCGGGCCGAGCGGGGAGGCCGAGGAAGGAGTGCGGGAGCGCCCGTCACCGGCCTGGGCTGGCTCCGGCTGTGCCGCGGCCCAGCCCGCCCCGCTGGCAGGGCGGCCGTGTGTGGATGGATGTCCGTGGGCACGGCGGTGGCACCGGGCCGGGGCTCGGGCGTGAGGGCGTCTCCGTGCCCTGCGTGCCGGGCTCGGCTGTCCCGCCCGCCGGCGCCGCCCGTGCTGCCGGGGGTCACTGAGGGACCACAGGGACCGCTCCCCGCCGTGGAAATGCGGCCGCAGCGAGCTCTTGGTCGCTGGCCTGTGGCTGCTAAAGGGCAGGTGACAGCAGACTTCGGTGGGGACACGGAACAGGATTGGGTCTGGCTGAATATAGGATGGCCAAATTCCCGCATGACAACTCCCTTTAACTCCTTAAAATGGCAGTGGCGCTCACCTAGGAGCTGTTGGGCTGACACAGCCTACTGAGTGTCTGTTTTCCACAGAGAATTGTCCTGAAGGCTTGGAAATCTGTCGGTGCCGCTTGTGGACAGTTGGGATGAGCCCATGACTCACCTTGTCTTGGGCTGGCTTTTGAGATTGACCAGGTTTAACTTGTTTAAAGAGTTTTACTTATTCTTCTCAGAAAGCAAGTGTTCAGAGAAATTCAGAGAAATATCCATTTGCCTACAATTTTTTCTAGGTTTCAGTTCTCTTAGGGCTTTTCCAGGCAGGCTGAATAATTTGCAGAGCAGCAGTTTGGGTCCCCTCACTCTCAGATACAAAGACTTTTCATTCAGAGATTCAAGTCCTGTGTGTGTCCATGACCTGCTGGCTGTGACATCCTCAGAGGGGGCCAGGACCCTTGTTGGAGGGGGTGCAGGATCATCTCAAATAGAGTCCTGTCATCATTACACCTTGTCTTGTTGCAGGTTGGCCTTCAGCAGGAATGGTGGTGTGGAGGAAGCCTGCCTAGAAAAGTCCAACAGCTGTGTTAGCTCTCTTAGAAAATATAACCTGCTTTTTTAGGGGGTTAGGAGCTAGTTTTTGTGGGCAGCCAAAGAATAAGTCAGAATGCCTGAATTAGGGTCAGCTTCTCAAGGTTGTTTATTTTCTCTTGTCTAAAACCTGCTTTCTCAAGGAGAAAGCAGATTATAGATAAGCAGATCAGTCTGCAACAGACTCCCACCCCCTTGGGCTGGTGTCACCATTTTACACAAAAAACTACCTGTACTGTGTTTACAATAATGTGCCAATATCTATTATTTATGTTGGACAGTGTATTTCTACCTTAAGCCAATAAAGTGTCACCATCACAGCAAGACATGGAGGGCAAGAAGGAGAAGGTCAAAGACACGACCAAATTCCTCTAGTTTGCCCCTTTGAATCCCTTATTTTAAAACCTTAAAATTCTACTTTTTCACCCTGTGTTAATCCAACTACCATACTACTCAAACTCTTGTGGCTTGTAATTCCTCATACAAAACTGGCAATTTTTTCCATGGGCTAAAATCGAAGCCACAGCTGTTTTTGACTTTGTGCCAAGGTCTCTGAGCCCCCTGACAGGGTCTGGAGACAGCCAGGGCAGCCAGAGGGATGTGCTGGGTTCCCACAGTTAATGGTGTGTTGGGTTTTGGGCTTGTCGGGGTAACCCCATCACACACCCAAGGTTGGGTTTGCGTGTTGCCATGCTCCCTGGAAGGGGATCTGTGGACTGTAATGCTACCAAAGAGTGTTCTCTGTGTGATACCTCCCTTGTAGAACTGAACAGCCAATGCTTTCAAGCAGCTAGTTAAATAAAAATATTTGTATTTCCTACAAAGGCTCTAGATTAATTTTCTGTGGTACTTTATTGTGTTCTTTTTGACAGCTAGTGTTAAGCCAGGGCTTTCTCTTCACATTCTTTGGGTTTATCTAACAAAGATCCTCTTGACTTTGGGGAGAGAGAAGAGCTATTCAAGCTCTAGGCAGAGAAGAGGTGGTGAACACCTGTGAGGTGGAGGTTCAAAGCCCAGAACAGTGAGGGCTGTTAGGATGGCAGCTCCCCTCCTTCATGTGGAGCGTTCAGAGGGACAGTGTCCTTTGAGGTCCTGCCATCTCCAGGATGATTGTCTTGGAGATGGAAGTTTGGTACCAAACCTGGCAGTGAGGATGACTGGAAGTGAGTGAGTAGGGTTTGGATTTCAGGAAGCAAGCTGGAAGTAGTACAAAACGTGCTTGGGCTAAATGTTTGCTAATTATTTCTGACTGGGCACTGCTGCTGTGAGCCCTGTCTGGAAGAAGCTGGTTTTCCATGGGCTGTGTTGGGTGTGTGTGCTGGAGACTGAGCCTGACACACACTCCTGGCTCTGAGATTACCCCTGAAAGGCTGGCATGAGTGCTGAGGGAGCATGACCTGAGGTCACCCATCCTGGGTGCAGCACTGAGGGCTGTCCTCCTTTTCCATGCTATCCCTCCTTGTCTCTGGTTTCAGCAGATCTTGGCTTACCACAAATGTCTGCTCAGCTGCTGTCCATGGTTGGCATCAGTTGGAAGGATGAGGGTTTGTGTTTGATGAGGGAGCAAATACCCTCCCCCAAAGACGCACTGTGCAAGGAAATAAACCCTAAATACAGGGATTCTGGCTGTGATTTTAGCTGCATGTCAGCCTGCCTGTGGAGAGGGACACGGTGGCTGTGCCTTGTTGAGTCACAGCTGGTTGCAAAGGCAGAGGTGAATATTCACTTCTCCTTTATTGGCTTTTGATGTGGTTGTTGCTGGGTCAGTCACGAGCCCTGGGGAGGATGGAGCAGATTGCTGTGGAATTCACCTTGGTCTGCGTGAGCCAGTCCTCAGTGAAGCAGGTTGTTTAACAGCTTTGTTGAAAATTGTGTGCAGTTTTGTAAACAGAAATCCTCTCAAAATGCCCAGCTTATTCCTCCAAGACTCTGTGTGGGCATCATCTACATTTTTCCTTTGTGACTGAGGCTGCTGTAAGGTGATACCCAATTTCCTTCTCTGACCCCTCTTTGCTGGTACCTTTTAACCAAAATTTCTTGCTTTTTGGGGCCCGTGCTGGCATTGTGGCTGCCTGATGGGTTGGGAGGAAGGCCTGGTTTGTACAGAAGAGCAAATGCCTCTGTGAAACAGGCTAAAAATGGGTATTTTTCCCCACATTTAGCAGGGAACAGTTGTGATCTCAGTGGTGCTTCAGTGCTTGGAGCAGTGAAAGGATCTCCCATGCCCCTGTTGCTTTGGAACAGTAGCAATGCCCCAGTGCTTCCCACAGCTCTGCTCCTGTTCCATGAGCTCCTCTGCAGCGTGGAACACGTGCCCTTGAGATGGCTTTTCTCCTCTGGAGTAGCTCTTGGAAGAGGATTCCCTGGAGATTTCTGGAAGCAAAAAAAGGAAGTGGATTGCTCCTCTCTGAAGCTGAACTGCTTTGTTGTTTGGGGATGGGGTTTTAATCAAAGAAAGAGCAGTTGTAAATAGGAGAAGAGTATCCAGAGTCGCACCCAGTCCGTCTCTGTGTTGCTGTGTACCATGACAGTGTCACTGTCCCTGTACTTCACACACTGCTGCTGATTCAGGCTGTGCTGTCAGTCTGCCATGGTGGTGACTGTCTGGCTGAGTAATTAAAGAGAACTCAATTTCTGTCACTTCACTGTTAATTGCATTAATTGTGAGAAGCCTAAGTGGACACCTAAATGCTTTCTGTTAATGAACGTTGTACAACACAGCCTGTGCTGTGATGGGATTACAGTGGTGCTCCTGCCTGCTGTAGGTTGTGTCCCTTCCCAGCTTGTCTCTTGTGCATCATATCCATGGATATGGAATTAGGATGCTGCCTTAGGGAGAGGTAATTATGACTGGAGCAGTCTGGTGCTTAATGCTGGTGCAATTATGATAATAAACCCCCATTACTGTGTTGTACTAAATACAAAGTATTTTGATGTCATTTGGTGCCTTGGAGGAGCCTTGGGTTCCAGTTTGGTTTTGCATGGGATAAATGGGTGAGTCAGACTTGGCTGTTGTGGATGTCCCAGTGGTCCCAGTTTTTCCAGCCACTGTAAAGTTTTCCACCACAGCTGTTTCTCTTACAGCCACTGCTTGGGCTTCATCTACCTCACTTGGTCATGTTCTCTTTTATCTCATGCTGCTCTATGCTTTGTGCTGATTTACTCTGGGGAAGTAAAGCCATAGTTTTTCTTTGTTCTGGCATTTTTGTCCTATTTCATCCTTTTTTATTTATGTGTGATTCTTTCCTGGTCAGCGTGTCACTGCATTTTCCTGAAGGGTTTCTGTTTGTAGCAGTTCTGTGGAGGATCAGTCCAAGGATTTTTTGCTTTTTCTTTTTCCTGCCAAAGAGGATGGTACTTAGCATTCTCCTTCTGCCCATAGCAACAGAGCTGTGTGTGAAGCTGGCCTTGGAACACCTGCTTAAGGTGGTTTTATAGCCTGGGGGAACATATGGGAACAAGGTTCCAGAGGCATGATAGCTTGGCTAAAGTTCTAAAGCTGTCTTTGTACTGGATTTGGAAATGGAACCTAGGATTCTAATGCATAGAAGATATATGCAGGCCTGTTAGAGCCACTAAAAATCCTAAATGTCACAGTGACTGCAAAAGAGGATGTCTCATATTTTCCATCTGGAAGTTTCCTTTTCATTTTAGTCCTTGGTGTGATATTTAAAAAATAGTTTCTTAAAATGTTCTGCCTCCAACTTGGGCAAACTCCGAGGTGATTGCGATGGTGGTTGAGAGGATTAATGCATAACTTTGGTCTTACCTTGAGAGCTCTGAACTTTGGGTGTCATTGTAGCAAGTGCTTTCTGAAAGCTTGCAACAGAATATCTTTTTTTAGCTGCTGAAAAGCGTGTTACAAATTTGTGGAGACAGTTTGCTGCCATTCTGGTTTGTTTGTTGAGAGCTCGCGTGTGTGGCTGCTTTTGTGTGTGCAGCAGCAGTGGCAGAGCCTCGGGGTTGTTCTGCTCACCAGTGTGCTCCCCTCCGAGCATCTCAGAGTGGTTTTCCCTGTGCTCCTCGTGCCTGGCACTGTGTTTCTTGTTTGCTTGTGAAGGAAGTGCCTTGGGGAGGAAAAAAAAAAAAAGCCTGTCCTTCACATTGCAGGAGGTCACTTAGCAGGAAGGTGAAGAGAGTTCAGTCTGCATGTGGAACTGAAGCTGTGATTCCAGCTACTGTGTGTATTTGTGAGAAATCCCAACAATTTGGTAGAGATGTCAAAAGTAGTTCTTAGTGGAGCAGTGACAGTGTGGCAGGTGCCTTGAACGTGCTGGTTTTGTGTCTGGGTGTTGTTCCAGTGGAGCAAGAGAGACCTTTTCACCTCTGGAGATACTCTCAAACCATGTCCTGGGCTGATCCTGCAGCGTGGGCAGCAGGAGGGGGGGGATTCTGCCCCTATCAGGTGAGACCCCACCTGCAGAGCTGCCTCCAGCCCCAGGGCCCAGCACAGGAAGGATGTGGAGCTGCTGGAGAGAGTCCAGAGGAGGCACCAGGATGATCCCAGCAATGGAGCGGCTCTGCTGGGAAGAAAGGGTGGGAGAGTTGGGATTGTTCAGCCTGGAAAAGAGAAGCTTTGGGGTGAGCTCATTGTGGCCTTCCAGTATCTGGAGGGAGCTTAGAGAAAAAAATGGGGCAAGATTATCTACAAGGGACTGGAGTGACAGGACAAGGGGGAATGGCTTCAAACTGGCAGAGAGCAGGGTTAGATTGGATATTAGGAAGAAATTCTTCCCTGCAAGGATGAAGAGGCCCTGGCAGAGGTTGCCTAAAGAAGCTGTGCCTTCAGCATCCCTGGAAGTGTCCAAGGCCAGGCTGGACAGAGCTTGGAACAGCCTGGTGTCATGGAAGGTGTCCATGGCAGGGAGTTGGAAGTGTGTGATCTTTAAAGTCCCTTCCAGCCCAGGCAGTGCTATGATTCTGTAATTCTGTCTCACTCACTGAATAAGAGGGAGTTCTCTAACTCTGATCCCAGGTAGCCAGCTGCTGTGGTACTGAGACATCCTGCACAAGCATTGTCTTCTCAGATGATGAAGTAAAATGTTCCAAAACATAATCCTGCTTGACCCACATAAAATGCGAAATCTATTCCAGAACTCCAGCCTTCAATGTAGTTTTCCAAACCTCAGTGCATACACAAACCACCGTGGTGTATCTTTGGTGGAGAGGCAGTGTCAGGCTGGCTGTTCTTGGAGATTATATACAGATTAGTTTTTTAATTTGTTGCTTCTGGGAGGAGTGGGAAAAGGCTCCCTGTCATTTGGGGCACCTACATTTGTGTCCAGGAAATGACTGGATGTGGCACTCAGTGCTCTGATCTGGTTGACAAGGTGATGATAGGTCACAGGTTGGACTTGATGATCTTGGAAGGCTTTTCCAACCTAAATGATTCTGTGATTTTGTTATTCTGATTCTGTAGGACAGGTTCTAAGTAGCTGCTGGACCTGTGCTGAGCTTGATTGTTGTATCTGGAAAGAAGGATGTGTTTCAGTACTACAAACATCTGGGTGCTTGTTAGCTGAGCTCAGCAATAGCTGAGCCCTCCCGTCATCATTAAGGTACTGCCATCTGTGCAGAGTGAAAAGAGCCTTTCTTGAAGCATAAAGGGAGAAAGCCTTAATGGAAAAAACAGAGCCATTCATGAAAACCCATCCATTTCAGAGTAAATCCTGCTTGCTCCTAGCTAGAGGGACTGCAGATCCCTCCAGAATGCCTCCACAGCCATTCAGATGATTAGTTACTGCTTCTGGAATGACTCATTTAAACACAAATTTATGCTGTCTATGCATTGCACCCAGGAAAGCAAATACACATTTGGCTCAGTCCTCTCATTCCCCACTCTGAAACTTGAAGGGAAGTGGTTTGGATGGAGCCTTTTATTTCAGTTCTCTCCTGATACTTATTTATCTGAAACTAACTCTGTGAAGTTCACATTTGAGAGTGTTTTCCTGAAATCTTTCTGGGAGGGAGCTACTTTTGTGGTGCTCTCACACACTTGAATTAATTATATTAATTTTACAGTCAGTTCCATGCTCCAGAATCCCAGTGACCTTGCACATGCTTTGTGTCCTGAAATTTCCACTGTAGTGCATCACCTTAAAGATGAATGAGACAAATATGTGGTGAAACTTTCAGAGCTGACTTTCACTTTAGTCAGTCCCTGTTTTCTCTCCCAGATATCCATATTTCTGCATTTAGAACTGTCAGCATTATTAATGAAATCAGCATCAGGGTGTACAGTCTCTGGCACTCCCAGTAAAGGTTTGGAGTGGTTCTTGTGTGGGATATGGGAGTGAAAGGCAAACTTTGCCTAACAGGAGACTCTCTGGCTGTGCTGAACTTTGCACTGGCAGGAAGCCTCATCCTTCTCTGAGCAGGCCCATGGTGTTTGTGGGACTGAGCTTCACAGTGGGAAGTGGAGAAAACAGGAAGAATTTACCAGATTGGAGCAATATTGGAAAGAACTGACTTTTCCTTCTTCCTGTCCCTTCTCTGGAAAACAAGTTGAAATGGAATTATCTCCACTGTAATATTTATTCTAGGTTTTTGTTTTGTTTGTTTGGTTTCTTCCTCTCTTCTCCTACTGTTGGCAGTGGCCCTGAGTACTACGGAGAAAGGGTGAATAAGCGAGTATTTTCTGTGTCTTGTAGCTCTTTTGTACTTGTGAATTTAAAACTGGCTAGACTTCCCCAGGAAGCACTCATTTAGAGGTTTTTTTCCCATTCTCTTGTGTTTTTTGTTTCTAGGAAACTACTTTGCAAGTCACTTCTTTATGGGAGGTGAGAAGTTTGACACCCCTCACCCTGAGGGTTACCTTTTTGGTGAGAACATGGACTTAAACTTCCTTGGAAATAGACCAGTTCAGGCAAGTTCCTATGTTCTGTCTGCTTTACTCTTTTTTGTTTCCTGCTTGTTTTGGAAAATCTTGTGTAGGGTATGCAGAGGAGAGTGACACAGACCTAAGAGGTCCTCACTGCTGGGGAATGTCATTCCAGTCTCTTCAGATGCAAACTGAGTTTTCCTGAGAAGCTGAATTCGCCTTGGAGGCTTATTTTCACTCCGGACAGAAGGAATTGGTGGTGGGGGAAGAATAACAGGGACTTGGGAGCACAGAATTTGGGACTAATTCTGTCTGCCTGCCTGAGCAAGTGTAAAACACACTGCAGAAAAGACTGGGAAGCAGAGCCTGAAATTCCCAAGGCTCCTGGGCATGTTGGGTGTTCAACATGTGCTGTTTTCTGTGTATGAATGGCCTGACTGGGTGTAGGGCAGTGTTAAGACAGACCTTAGCATTTTGTGAATTTTATACCTAAGTGGTATACCTACCTGCTCAGAATGTCCCTCCTCTTATCCTAGCTGGAACAAAAATGTAATTTTGGGCCCACAGATGTCTGCGAGACTGTGAAAAGCTACTTGCTCAAGTGATTGGCTTGTTCTTGAAAAGGGAATAATGTTGTTCTGAGGGAAAGACAGGAATTTTATGCAAAGTGTTGTTTTGGATTTCTCTTGCATCTCAGAACTCCTTAAAAAGAGCCACAAGGTAACAGAGTCAGAGCCATTTGGAGATCTTTTTGAGTGCTGGAGAGGACAGGGAAGAGCTGCTTGCTTTGTTCTCTATTTTCCTAGTTGTTTCTGCAGCTTCCAAACATGAAAATGAAAACTAGAAGTCACGGTTCTCCTCATCAGAAAAGCTGTGACTATTAATTAAGACACGTTTGTAATTCTTGGTGGCAGTTTGGGATCACCCTGGTTTTACAGGGAAACTGAGGCAAGTTGGAATTGGAACAGTTACAAGCACATTCTGTTTTCTGAGCTTCTCCTCAGGCTGTGCCACTGGTCATTTTGGAACCACACTCAGTTCACAGGACGGACAAGGAGGAATCTAGAAAGTCTTTGTTTAAGCAGGAAGTGCAGTTGGGCAACAGAATTAGGAAGGAGGGACTTGAGCTGGATCTCTGTGGTTGTATTAGTGCTGGACATTCCTGGGGGTGCTCTCCACATCCCCTGTGCCACGTCTGCACACAGGCCCCTCCCTGCAGGAGCTGACCTGGCAGAGTTAAATCACCTGCACGTCTCAGCCTGGCTTTCCTTGCTGACACCCCAGCACTGGGTATCATCATTTCTCCAGAGGGGAGTGGGTGAGAGGCCATTAACACCATGGGACTTTTGCCAAGTGGGTTTAGGAGAAGGAGGCTGTTATGGAATATAGTTTGCCTATGTAAAGTTAAAGCCCTTTGGCAGCTCTGATTAATTTTCAAGGGAAAAAAACACAAAACACTCAAACACAGAACAGCAGCACTGTTTTCTGGACATGGGCCCAGTTATTGCTTTGGAGTAACTGAGGCTTTGCCTCATTTCTAAGGAAATGTGTTGGTGGTCCCTGGTGCCCAGCAGGCAGATCTGAAGCTGTATAGGTTGTGATCACCACAGTAAGCAGTTTCCTTTGCATTTCTCACTGGAGATCTGTTCTCACTAAGGAGAATTACAGTCTGAAGCACTATTGTCCCTATTTAAAGGACAATCTGTGAGAGAAGGTTTCTTAACTGTAGAATAGAATGAGGCCCCCTATCCCTGTCTCTTTATTTTCCAGAACATTTGCCCCATTGTTTCAGAATAAAAAGAGTTTCCCCCAATAATCCGGGGTTTCAGCATGCTGATTAGCAGTCAGATCACTGCTTGCATGCTGTAATACACATGAAAGAGCTGCATTTCTTCTGCTCAAGCTGGAGGTGGGTTCTTTAATGGAAATAAAAGCTTAGGAGAACAAGGCTTTCCTGACTGAGAATTCAGGGTGGAGAGAAGGACCTCATGAAAATGCCCTTTCTTGAAGTGTGTATTTTCAGTATGAGCTGTTGCTGGGCTAGGGCAGGATTTTCACCCTGAAACACACTTGATTTATCTGTAAATAAAATATGCTATTGCTGTTCCTTGTGGCTGCTGTACTGAATACCCTGAAAGCTACATGCTTCTTGATTTGGGTAAATTACATGCTAGGTAACATGCTGCTACCTTTTATAATGTAATAACAGCAGAATGATTTGCCTCTGTTCCAGTTTCCCTATATAACTCCAGCCCCACATGAGCCAGTGAAGACACTGAGGAGTTTGGTGAACATCCGCAAGGACTCTCTCCGACTTGTGAGGTACTGCCATTACCTGACCCTTTCATTTTACTCAACCCAGAGATCTGTCAGCCACAGCCAAGCTGTACTGGTAAGGTTTTGGAGAATGGCTGATATCCAGATCCTTGTTGCTAGATATGTCCAGAGGTTTCTTTGTTCCCTTTTGAGCTTTCAAGTGGTTTATATGCTCCTTATCCAAACAATCTGTGTTTCCAAACAGAACCAATGATGTGTCTGTTTCTGCAGGACAGACTGGAGTGGTAAACAAAGTCATGAAATCATTAGCACGAGCGGAAGATATTAGTCAGGTCAATAAACTTTACAGACAGATTCCTTCCTGCATTCCTGTGCAAGGAGAAGCCAGAGGGGAGCTGATTCTGGTGCGAGTCACAGGCCAGGAAGACTGATAGGTCTTGAGTGAAACTTCCTCAGGTTTCTCCTGCTGCCAAGATGAAGTTTGGTCCTAGTGTTATGCATTTGTTTAGATGGCTTGTGTCCCCTGCATGGGGGAAGGACAACCATGGGCATGGTAGCTGTCACTGCTCCACGCTGAGATCTGAACCAGCAGAGCTGGATTAAAGCACTGGCTTGCACTCAGACCTGCAGCTGTCCCCTTTCCAACAGATGGCTGAGGTACAGGGCCCAGCATTCAGTGTTTTGTTTGGGTCTGAGCACTGGGCAGATGTCCAGGCAGAGCTTTTCCCAACCATCCTGGCTGGAGTCGCTCTGGATTGTGCATCTTGGGGCTGGCAGGGCTCCAGCTGCAGCTCCCAGCCAAGGTGGCTCTGAGAGCGTGGTGTAATATGAGCACTTTGAGTCATAACCAAAATCCCTGTTTGTTTTTATGTGAAAACAGATGTGGGTTTTTTTTGTTTTGTTTTGTTTTAAAATGAGTAAAACCAGTGGTTTCAAAGCTGATTGAGCTTCCAAATAAGTGACCATTGGTAAACTGCTCTGAAAGCTCTTTGGTTTTTCATCATGAGGGTGAAGTACTTCTCTAGGAAAAAAGAGGAGGAACATAAGCCAAATGGGAAGTGGCTTTTTCCCTGAGAGAGGCCTGGCTGTGAATGGAGCAGTTGCTGTGATTTAGTACATATAGTTCTGTCATTCTGCTTTCTGTGGTTGCACGTCCCATTTCCCCGAGCAGAGTTGCAGCTCTGGACTATTTGGAATGTAGTGTCCATGCACCTTGACAGTATCTAGGTTTTCATCCATCTAATTCCTGGTACTATCAGTTCTTTTTCTGCCTCATGAGCTCTCACAGGCTCTTGTGCTGCTGCTGTGTCAGTGCTGACGACAACACTGCCAACATGACTCTATTGAATTTTGCACTGATGTAGGCCCAAAATGAGGTTTTAATTGGCAGTCCCCAAGGGTACATTCTGTCTTGTGCTTTTCTACTCTTCTGGCCCCACAGGCTTTGTCTTCCTCCCTCTGTACTCGTAAAGGACACTTTGTGCCCTCTCCAGCCTGGCTTATTCACAACCAGTCATTGAGGTTTGCACATTCTTTCCAGAGCAGAATTTACCACATCCTCCACCAAATATAGTGATATTGAGCCAAGTGTCCAGGTGTAAAGTTCTAAGTGTATGTTCTGGTGGTAACATCCCCATCAGCTTTTTCATAGAATCCCAGACCGGTTTGGGTTGGAAGGGATCTTAAAGACCATCTCGTTCCACCCCCTGCCATGGGGACACCTTCCACTGTCCCAGGCTGCTCCAAGCCCTGTCCAGCCTGGCCTTGGACACTTCAGGGATCCAGGGGCAGCCACAGCTGCTCTGGGCACCCTGTGCCTCACCACCCTCCCAGGGAACAATTCCTTCCCAATATCCCATCTATCCTTGCCCTCTGGCAGTGGGAAGCCATTGCCCCTTGTCCTATTACTCCAGGCCCCTGTTGAAAGTCCCTCTTGAGCTCTCCTGGAGCCCCTTTAGGCACTGGAAGGGCTCTGAGTTCTCCCTGGAGCCTTCTCTTCTCCAGACTGAAGAACACCAACTCTCACAGCTTGTCCTCACAGGAGAGGTGCCATGGAGGAATATAGGGAAATGTCCACTCTGGCCTTCTTGCCCAGCTCTGACCAGACAAAATTCTGAGCTTTGCCAGATCCTGAATTTTTACAGGATAAACAATTAACCTGTGGATATAGGTGTTAAAGTTCTGAGTCTTCAATGTCACCTGTGAGTGTTTGATTTCTGGCAGGAGGAGACTGTGAACCTCAGAGCAGGGAAGCAGGAATTTTACTGTTAACCATTAAAAAAGAAAGACTTCCTTCTATTTTTCTTGTGTCTCACATTTCGCCTTGGATTAGAAACTTTGTTTTGGAGCCCCAGTACCTGTTGTGCTGGTACTGGCTGTTCCTTCTTCTCCTGAAAGCACTTCCAGCAGCAGGAGGAAGACCAGCTCAGGAGACAATGTCTGTTGTTGCACCCTGGGGCAGCTTCTCTGCTTCAGCTTCTGGGCTTTGGATAGCATCATGGAACAAAAGCTTTGAAGGAATCAGCAACTGTAGTGGTTTGGAAATGTGTCTGAAACATCAGGAGTATCATGGAGAATAGTCATGGAGTGTTTTGGATAAGGACCTGAGAGAGGTGGATGGTGAGGGCTGAGGGGAGACAGATGAGTTGCAGGGAGTGAGAGAAAGGAAATCTCTTCCCTCTGCAGTACAGAGGGGCTGACCTTGGTCCTTGGATCTGTTCATCCTGTGGTGGAGGTGGTGAGGGGCTGGGACTGCCTGCTCTGCAGCCCTGGATGGTGTTAAACTGAACAGATCTTTGCAGAAGCCCCAAATAGGAGAACCCCTGTGTTTGGTGATGCTCTCTCCTGTTCCCCTGTGAAAGTCAGTGCTGACAGAGGTGTCACTAATTCTGCTCTCACTTTTTGCCTGCTCAAACACTGGGTAAATGCAGATCTCACAGCACTCAGTCAAGGGATGTACTTAACATTTATCCTTCATGTCTATGTGTTGGACAGACTTCTGAATCTCCTCAAAGGATGAAATTGGGTTTGGCTCAACCTAGTTCTATAAAACTGCCATGGCTGCTGTTATTTATATTTTTATCTGTTCTTTAACAGACAATAAAAAGCTCCAGCCTTTCCATTGTTTTATCCAGGAGTGATGTCAGACCAGGTGGCCTCAGCTCCCCTGGTCATCCTGCTTTGCCTTTTGCATCAAAACATTGGATCAGCTATTTGTTCTCAAAGGTGGTCAGTCTCTTTCCTCTGTACCTGTGGTTGTGAAGGCTCTGTGATGCACCTCTGTGCATGACCCAAAGGCACACCCAGCAATGTCACTGGTTCCCAAATCTGTGCATGCATCTGTGACCACCACACATGGACACTGTCTGTAGGGCTTGGCTAAATGGGCACCATAAAATTCAAGTGCAGGTTGAGATAGACGAGCTCTTGAAGCACCTGAACCACCTCCTTATGCCACATCCCCTTCAAAGAAAGAGGAATGCAAAATGAGTGATTTTTGTCTTGTTACTTCCCTGATGTTACATCCCACCATTCCTGCACCTTAAGGTGGCACATGAGATGTCTCTGCCTCTCAAAGTATGCACCAAAGTAGTCTTTGCTTGTTCCTCAGGCCAGCTACCATGTGTGCAGTCTTTTCTCACCTGAACTCTTTGCTCTGTGGCAGATCATAGAATCCCAGACTGGTTTGGGTTGGAAGGAAGCTCAAAGCTCGTCTCCTTCCACCCCCTGCCATGGGCAGGGACACCCTCCACTAGAAAAGGCTGCTCCATGCCCTGTCCAACCTGGCCTTGGATCCAGGGGCAGCCACAGCTTCTCTGGGCACCCTGTGCCAGGGACTCAGCACCCTCACTGGGAAGAATTTCTTCCTTACATCTAATCTAACCCTGCTTTATGTCAGTGTGAATCCATTCCCCCTTGTCTTATCACTCCACGCCCTTGTAAATAGTCTATCTGCATCTTTCTGTCCTGTTCAGGTACTGGAAGGTTGTGAATGATTTTCTGTGCCTCCAGCAGCAGGGATGTTACAACAGGAGGGCACAGCCTTGCTGTGACTGTCACCATTTAGGCACTGGTACCTTGCCCTCTGCTCCAGTGGTGCTGTTCCAGACAGACAAGGCTCAGCCTCTTTTCCCTCCCATCCTTCAGAAACCTTCCCTCCAGGCACTGCAGTGGCCCCTCAGTGGTTTCCCAGGGCAACAGATCTAGTCTAGTCTAGCTTTAACCCCTTATCTCCCTAGAAGGATGGAAGCACATTCTGAGTGCTGGCAGAGAGGTGCAGGGTGAGGCTGGGAGCAGGAGGGTGATCTGGGGTGCTTTTTGTGTCTTCCCTGAGAAGACAAAGCAGGCAGTGCTTGTGCCAAGGACATGTTTGTGTGTGAGCTGCCCACGCCCAGGTGTCCCCATTGTTACTTGGTACTGTCACAGGGATCTCAGTCTGTGCTGTAGCTCTCGCATGTGCTGGCTATCTCTATTTAATACCTACCTGTGCATGAGTCTGAAGGAGCCTCTGCCTGCAAGAGGTGCTGGTTCTCCCACCCTGCTGCTTCTGGAAAAAGTGGCAAGTCTGTCATAGCCTGGATCCTTCGTCTCCAGCCTCGAATCCACAGAGTGCAGCACAGCAAGAGGTGACTTGTGCTGCTGCTCTCACACACAACACTTGCGAGTGGATTGTTGCCTGTGTTCTTGGGTCAGTCCAGCACAAAATGTTGATGGTTCCTGTGTTCTTTAGGCAAATCTGCCCTTCTGCCCAGTGTTTCTTCTTTACAGCCTTCAAATGCCATGATTTTCACTTTGCAAATTTTTCACTTTTACAAAATGCAACTAGCTTGTGTGAAAATACCATCTTTCTCTGTACTGTATATTGTGTCTAGGTTTCTGCAGATGTTAAGACTCCAGTTCTTGGGATTTGTTTTTTTTTTTTTTTTTTTTT